CTTTTTCTATCTCAAAATAAGTGTAGTCAGTTTTAATCGGGGAAAAAAATATTATTCCAATGAATAAGTATCGCTTTAGAAATTTAGATAAAAATTAGTATCGTTTCCAACTAAATATTAAATAACTAATTGTTTTTTTTTTATTTTTAAAAAGATATATATGTTAAAACAGCTAGCATTTTATATTTTTCAAGTCTGCTATTATGTGATATCTCCAACTAAGATATACTTGGATTTTTTGGGGTTAACTTTTACCTAAAAAAAAAAAGGGTCCATCACTACTATTACTCCAAAACTAATAGGACAAAAGAACTAGAGAAACACCAAAAAGAAAAAGAAAATACAATTCTCTTTTAATAAATCACGATATTCTGATTAATTTATTCGCATCTCAATTAATTTTATAAAGTCTTTATTACCTTTCATGGTCGAATAATTTTATAAAAATAATAATAAAATATTCAGTATAATTTTATAAATAGAGATTGAAAAATATGAAGTACGACCTAATTGTTTTAGATAGATCTTCTATCATGATCGAATAATTCTGTCCACAAAAATTTAAAAAGTTGGATAAAATGAAAAACTACATTATCGAAACGTGTTTAAATTGGAATCAATAAATAATTGTACCTTCATTTGTTCATATATATATATATACACCTAAAAATAGAGACAAGTAATTTGACATTACTTGACAATGGTCAATGGACCACTATAATAACTTTAGAAAATTTAAGATGATGAATCATATTTGTCGAACTTTTAAATGTTTTAACTAGTTAGTAAAAATAATCATATGAACCATATTCAAAGACTTGTCGGTTGTTCAACCTAGCTAACTCATAACTCAAAATCTGAGACGTATTCAAAATTTAAAAGTTTTAAATATTATATAAAAGATGATTAATTAAATCAACTTTGAGCTTCAGCGCGGTTGTCTTCTTGAGTTGTATGACAAATAGATTGAATTATAGAATATCGAAAAAAGTTTATGTACGTAACCTTAGTCCTATTTAATAAGTTTTATTATATAAAATTAATTTATTACAATCGTGATATTCATTGTCGTCTTCTTCACCTTCTTAGTTATGGTATCATCTTTGTCGTGACATCGATATCTCCGACTTGAAAAGATGGAGTTTAGAGTTTTAAAGAAATCAATTGAACATATATTTTTAAAAAATTAATAAAAATCATTATATATATTAAGTGGACAAAAATACGAGTCCGAAGCCTAAAGGATAAAATAAATTGACAAAAATTCTAAAAGGATATATCAAAAAACTTTCTAAAGCCGGCCACATAATTCGCGCTATTAGTAACGATCTTACCGTTTTGATTAAAAAGTTCTTTGATATACCTCTTTAGAATTTGTGTCGATTTTCATCTGGTCAACATCGAAGTGTTTTTTTGCTAACTATTGAGTGATGATTCAGATAGAAAATTTATATTCTCACTATGAAAAAGATTTTAGATGTATTTTTATTTTTTAAACTCTATTATAAAACATTATCAACAAGACCCTAACATTCTCAATACACAAATAACACACTTATCTTTATATTTTTGTCATTTTCTTAGTGGTGGGGTGAAGGTATCTTTTAGAATTTGCTATACAATCTTGTGTCAACTTAAATACTAACCTAGCAATTGTCAGCTGGTCCTACATTTACTTTATAGAGATAGTGACTTTTAGAAAGAAAAAAAAAATACAAAGAATTATTGAGATAAATATTAATTTATATGATATTGTTTGATCGAATAGAAAAAATATTTTTCATAACTGAAATATTTGATAGTTTATGTAAACTTTAACTAATTCAAAGATACCTAGAAACTTTAAAATATCCTATACTGTTCATTTAGGATTTGAATGTGTGAAAATCATAATTCAAGACGTTTGAAAACTTATCATTTAAAACAAATTTTAACTGTGACTAAATATTATTTCATTAAAGTTAAATTATTTCTAAATAGAAAAGTATAACATTGCTTTCAAAATTATTATAAATTAAAAAAAAATAGTATATAAAGTGAGATGGAAGGAATATATATTACTAGCAATGAGTTGTCAAGAAATACACAGTACTCATTGTTCCTTCTTGTCACCCTTTATTGATGTACTCCAATTCAACAACTCCAATGTTTTAGACGGTGAAATGTAAGCAGATCTTACCCGTATTTAAACTCTCGACTTGTACTCTGAATCAAGTCAAACAGATTGAAACGGAGCAAGTATCTAATTTCTTTCTTTTAGTTTTGGTCAATTAGTGTTCAACTATCCAATAACTTATATATATATATATATATATATATATATATTAACTTCTATTTACTAAACTTAAGTAATTTTCTTTTG